TAAACCGGTAAATCAGTGCAAGTTGTAAACCAATAAATTGGTCGTTTAAAAGAAAATTGGATGGTTCCACCTACCCAATTGGACTCCCGGAGGATATTAGGGACCATGATAAACATTTCGGCAATTTTTATTCCTGGCAAAAAAAGTCAAAAATTTCCAAAATTGAAGGCTAATGTCCACGCTTTTTGCGAAATTTTGGAGGTTTCGGGGCCCAGTGTCGCAAAGTCTTGAGATTTTAGGGAATACATATGGGGGTCATAAAATTCCATTTGGAACCATATATGATCATTATATGTTGTCAAAGATGTTCGTGGTAGGCTTGAGTTAATGAAATCGGTGCAAGTTGTAAACCTGTAAATTGGTCGTTTAAAGGCAAATTGGATGATTTCACCCGCCCAATTGGACTCCCAGAGGATATTAGGGACCATGGTAAAAAATTTCGGCAATTTTTTTTTTTCCGGACGAAAAAAACTTAAAAAATTCTAAAATTGAATGCTAATATCCACGCTTTTTGAGAAATTTTGTAGGTTTTAGGGCCCGGTGACGAATAGACTTGAGATTTTAGGGGATACGTTTCGGGGTCATATAATTCCGTTTGGAACCATATGTGATCATTATATGTTGTCATAAATGTTCATGTTAGGCTTGACTTAATGAAATTGGTGCATATTGTAAATCAGTGAATTGGTCGTTTAAAGGAGAATTGGATGGTTGCACCCACCCAATACGACTCTCAGAGGGGTATTAGGGACCTTGGTAAACATTTTGGAAATTTTTATTTTCAGGCGAAAAAGTCAAAAAATTACAAAATTGAAGTCTAATATCTTCGTTTTTTGAGAAATTTTGGAGGTTTCGGGGCCCAGTGTCGAAAAGGCTTAAGATTTTAGGGGATACATCTCGAGGTCATATAACGTCGTTTGGAATCATATATGATCATTATATGTTGTCATAAATGTTCGTGGTAGGCTTGAATTAATTAAATCGGTGGAAGTTGTAAATCGGTAAATTGGTCGTTTAAAGGAAAATTAAATGGTTCCACCCACTCAATTAGACTCCCAGATGATATTAGGGATCATGGTAAAAATTTCGTCAATTTTTATTTACGAACAAAAAAGAGTTAAAAAATTCCAAAATTGAAGTCTAATATCCACGCTTTTTGAGAAATTTTTGAAGTTTTGGGGCCTGGTGTCAAAAAGTTTTGAAACTTTAGGAAATGCATTTCGAGGTCATATAATATCGTTTAGAATCATATATGATCATTATTTGTTGTGATAAATGTTCGTTGTAGGCTTGAGGTAATGTAATCGATGCAAGTTGTAAACCGACAACTCGGCTGTTTTAAGGCAAATTGGATGGTTGTACCTAGCTAGGTGGACTCGCGGAGGGTATTAAGGACCATTGTAAACATTAAGACAATTTTTATTTTTGGGCAAAAAAGTCAAAAAATTCCAAAATTGAAGTCAAATATCCATGCATTTTGAGAAATTTTGTACGTTTCGGGGACCGGCGTCGAAAAGTCTTGAAATTCTAAGGGATTAATCTCAGGGTCATATAATACCGTTTGGAACCATATATGATCATATATGTTGTCATAAATGTTTGTGGTAGGCTTGAGTTAATGAAATCAGTGCAAGTTGTAAATCGGTAAATTGGTCGTTTAAAGGAAAATTGGGTGGTTCTACCCACCTAATTGGAATCCCGGAGGGTATTAGGGACCATGGTAAACATTTCGGAAATTTTTATTTTCCAGCGAAAAAAGTAAAAAAATTCCAAAAATGAAGTCTAGTCCACGCTTTTGAGAAATTTGGTGTTGAAATGTCTTGAATTTTTTAGGAATACATCTCGGGGTCATATAATGTCATTTGGAACCATATATGATCATTATTTGTTGTTATAAGTGTTCGTGGTAGGCCTAAGTTAACGAAATCATTACAAGTTGTGAACCGGTAAATTGGTCGTTTAAAGACAATTTGAATGGTTTCACCCACCCAATAGGACTCCCGGGGGGTATTAGGCACCAGGGTAAACATTTCGTCAATTTTTATTTCCGGTCGAAAAAAAGACAAAAAAATTCCAAAATTGAAGGCTATCCACGCTTTTGAGAAATTTCGAAAGTTTCGTGGCCCGGTGTGGAAAAGAAATATGATTTTAGGGGATACATCTCGAGGTCATATAATGCATGTCGTTTGAAACCATAAATTACCATTACATGTTTTCATAAATGTTTGTGGTAAGCTTGAGTTACAGAAATCGGTGCAAAATGTGAACCGGTAAGTTGGCCGTTTAAAAGCAAACTGAATGATTCCACCCACCCAATTGGGCTCCCGGAGGTTATTAGGGACCATGGTAAACATTTTGGCAATTTTTATTTACGGGCGAAAAAAGTCGAAAAATTCCAAAATTTAATTGAAGGCTAATATCCACGATTTAGAGAAATTTTTGAGGTTTCGGGGCCTGGTGTCGAAAAGCATTGATATTTTTGGGAATACATCTCGGAGTCATATAATGCCGTTTGGAACCATATATAATCATGATATGTTGTCATAAATGTTTGTGGTAGGCTTGAGTTAATGAAATTGGCACAAGTTTTAAATCGGTAAATTAGCCATTTAAAGGCAAATTGGATGATTCCACCCACCCAATTGGACTACCGGAGGGTATTAGAGAGCATGGTAAACATTGTGTCAATTTTTATTTACAGACGAAAAAAGTTTTAAAAAAACTCAAAAATTGAAGGCCACGCTTTTTGAGGATTTTTGAAGTCTTCGGGGCGCGGTTTCAAAAAGTCCTGAAATTCTAGGGAATACATCTCGGGGTCATATAATGTCGTTTGGAACCATATATGATCATTATTTGTTGTCATAAATATCCGTGGCAGGCTTGAATTAATTAAATTGGTGCAAGTTTTAAACCGGTAAATTAGTCGTTTAAAGGCAAATTGGATTGTTCCACCCACCCAATTAGACTCACTCAGGGTATAAGGGATCATGGTAAACATTTCGACAATTTTTATATCTGGGCGAAAAAAGTCAAAAATTCCAAAATTGAAGGCATATCCACCATTTTTGAGAAATTTCGATTGTTTCGAGGCCCGATGTCGAAAAGCATTGAGATTTTAGGGGATACATCTCGGGGTCATATAATACCGTTTGGAACCATATATGATTATTATATGTTGTTATTAATGTTTGTGGTAGGCTTGAGTTAATGAAATCAGTGCAAGTATTATATTGACCGGTAAATTGGCCGTTTAAAGGCAAATTGGATGGTTACACCCACCCAATTGGACTCCTAGAGGGTATGAGAAACCATGGTAAACATTTCTGCAATATTTATTTCCGGGCGAAAAAAACCAAAAATTTCCAAAATTGAAGGCTAATATCCACGCTTTTTGAGAAATTTTGGAGTTTTCAGGTAGAGCTGTCAATTCGGGTAAATGGGTCGAGTTTAGGTCGGCAAGAGTGGGTCGGGTCAACTCAGGTCGGGTCAATTCGGATTAATTCCATATCTTATGCGGGTCGGGTTTGGGTTGGATCATGCTTGAGTCGGATCACGTCGGTCATACTTCTTATCAGGTTTGGGTCGGGTTAATAACAGGTCGAGTTACATTCAAGTCGGGTGAACAATAGGTCGGGTTTAATTCGGGTTTTCACGGGTTATGGTAATTCTCGGGTTCGATTCAAGTCAATAATTTGGGGGTTAGAATCAGGTCGGGTCATTCTCGGGTTTGAGTCGGGTTCGGTTCAAGTCAATAATTTGCGGATTATAATCAAGTCGGGTCAGTCTCGGGTTCAATTCGGGTTCGGTTCAAGTCAATAATTTGCGGTTTATAATCAGGTTGGGTCATTTCTAAGTTGGGTCATTCTCAGATTCAAGTTGGGTTAAGTCAATAATTTGCAGGTTACAATCAGTTCAGGTCATTTCCAAGTCAGGCCATATTCGGGTTCAACTAATTATAAATAGATAATTATCATTTTTATCAAGCTAATTATTTCCTTTTACTATTATATATATGACAATATAATAGGGAACTATAGTTTATAATTTAGGAAGATAATTATCTCCCTTGACCATACAACAAATATATACTATATTTAATTCTTAAATTTGAGGATGATGCTTCTTTCTTTTGCAGGCCTGGTCCAATTTGGTCTCCTTAGACAAAATGCTTTGATCAACAATCATAAGGTGGTTTAAATGCATTTAAGGTGATTTGAAATCGGGTCAGGAACACTTTGGGTTGAATTTAGGCCGGGTCAATAACAAGTCGTGTTGATTTCGAGTCGGGCTATTAACAGATCGGGTTGAATTTTTTGGTCGGGTTAGTAATAGGTCTGGTAAAATTCGAGTCGGGTCTAACAAGTCGGGTTGAATTTGGGTCAGGTTAATAACAAGTCAGGTTGATTTCGGGTCGGGTTTGTAACAGGTTGGGTTAAATTCGGGTCGCGTTAGGAACAGGTCGGGTTAAATTCAGGTCAGGTTAGTAATAAGTCGGGTTAAATTCGGGTTTTGAGGGGTTAAAACAGGTTTGGGTCAATTTCGGTTCAAGTCGGGTTCGGTTCAGGTTAATAATTTACGGGTTATATATATTCGGGTCGAGTCATTTCCAGGGCATTTCATGTTCGGGTTCGGGTCTCACATAATAGGGTCAACTATGGTCTAAGGTTGGTTTCAGGTCGGGTTTGGGTCACCATTTTTTCAGGCTCAAATGGTTTGGTTAATAATCGGATTCGAGTTGTATGTCGGGTCGGGTCAACTTTTGACAGCTCTAACTATAGGGATAGTTGAAACCTTCAAAGAGTGTAATTTTATTGGATTCGATAATGAAAACATAAATAAACTTTCCCGCCTATAAAACACTTTTTATAGGGGCTGGACGTAGCGAAATTTTTTTATTTTGAGAAATTTTTTGGCTATTTCCAACCTATAAAACACTTTTTTTTTTGAAAAACCAAAAAGAGAAAAAAGAGAGGAAAAGATAGGGTTATCAAATGGACAAGGTTTTTGAGTTTTGACACAATTTGTTTTTTTTTTCAATGGTTTTTTCTTGGAACGGTACATTGAACATTTGTGACAGAGTCACAGAGTAATAAAGACGTCATTATTATATTTTATACGCAATTAATTTAATTTTTGCAAATTGTCACAAAATCTCCCATCACTTCACCAAACTCTTCTCATCTTTGGAGTCTCCGAAATATTGAATTTCCTGTTAATAATTCACCTACAGTATTTCCTCCTCATATTTATTTTCTTCTCAATAAATCTTCTAATTTTTCTGTCAATGGGCATAAATTACTCCCAAATTATCATCTTTCACATTCTTCCCAGCTAAAGATCTCTCCTTTTCAATCTCTTTTTTTCAATCTCTTTTTCTCTCTCGTCTTCTTTTAAGAACAACAAATGGCGGCTTCTTATGCTTTTTTTTCACCTTCTGTACCTTCTTCAACTCTCAACAGCAGAATTTCTCCATTTTTAAGCTTAAATGGATCTGGGTTTTGTTCCTATTTGGGTATCAGCAAAAGGGTTTTTTGTTCTTCCATTGAAGGTGCTGAGAAACATGCTGCTCCTGGTGTTTCTTCTACTGAATCAAGAGCTTCTAGGTATTCTTCATCTATCATTGGTTTTTATATTTCTGTTATTCTGTATTCATCAAAATATTATGAGTGATCAATTTGATTTGCTAATTCATGCAATGTTCATATTAATTAATTCAATGTGATGATGTTTTCTTATTGAACATTTAATCTTAAGATCCGAATTTAGTACTGTGCGAGACATGCACTGGAATCTGCTTCTAAATTTGAGGAGATAGTGAAATATGTGACATTTGATTGATCTTATGAAGTACATATGAATGATATGATGATTGTTATGTTCTTCAAAAAAAAAAAAAAATGATGATTGTAATGTGTATTTAATTTGATGGATGATCAATGTGTATACGGCTCTGAATGAGGTAGCTAAAAGATACTGTAAACAATCATTGTTGTGAATGTAAAATTGTCAATTGGATAGTGGTTCTGCACCAAAAAGATTATTGGCCTTGAACGATTAATATAACCTGAATGAGGTTATGGGTTGTGATTCCTATTGCCTTTAGGATGAAACTTCACTTGGGCTATCTAGGATGTGTAGTGGAAATCTTATCAAGCTCAATTTGTTAGGAACCAATGTTGAATTTTCACTGTTGGTCTTGACTAGTGTTGAGCCCCTTGCTCATGTCTTCTTATTTAGATGACAAAGCTATTGTGTGGTACGTGCTTTTCTTTCAGCTATACTACAAGATTAACAATGTGATATGTCCAAAACACTTGTTTGGAACCAATCAGTCGTTTCCATTACCTAGTGTTTGGTATGAGAGGTGTGGTAACAAACTCTATGTTCTAAAGCTAACCATTACCACTCTATTGCTACCTTTCCCAACTATGTGGTGACAAAATTGTCTCTCTCTTCAATTCCCAATTTACTACCTCATACAAGGGATCCATTTGTGTCTGTATATCAAACAACAAATAATAATAATTTTTAACATAACCCTTTCTCCTTCTTTGGTTCCAACTTAGTTCTTATTCTAAATACATTCCAAACGTGCATTTATATTCCTTATTATTGATCCCACGTTTCCACCTTATCAAAAACCTGAGATTGTCATTTAAATATATTGGTTTCCTAGCAATTCTTGCTATTTATGTGTGTTTGAGCCGGTATCCATAGATTTGGTTGATTTGTTGAAAGTATTTGATGAAGTGGCTAGCGGCGCTAGCCACTATCAGCTTCAGGTAGCATTTGGGTTAAGCATTGAGAGTAAAGGCACATTGCTTTTGTGCTTGACTTTTAGGGCCTTCTACTGGAGTCAAATAGTGAATAAAATGACCTATCTGTTCCTTTGGCTTCATCATCCCTCTTAAGAAGCATTGAAATTTCTGACTGTATTTACCATTGGATATTAAATTTGCATAATTGACTAAGGTTTGGGTTATTGGGTGTGGGATATGCCAATAGAATATTTGTGTAGTGAGATTGCAATTTGCTGTTAATGCTTCCAACTGCTTCAACATTCCATGAAGTTATCTGAGTTGTAATTAGAATTATTGTAGTTTTGGAAAAATCATTCTGGGGCAACATATTTTAGTCATTACATAGTTGAGTATGAAGCTGGTCTTTGCTTTCTTCTATGTCCTATGAGCTTTAGGATGGGTCATACTTCTTGTGGGTTTCTATGTGGTAGTCTGTAAGTCAGTACTCATCGTCTCATTCTAACTGAAGATTTCTTTTCCTTAATTTTTTTTTTTCCTTGGGTTGTTTAAGTTAAATTTCTTAAGTGTTTGCCTTCTGTTGTCTCTCACGAGCTATTATTAAATTTGCTGTTTTTTTGGTTCTTAATGCAGGCTAATAAATAGGGGTTGTAAGCTTGTGGGTTGTGGTTCTGCTGTACCCAAGCTGCAGATTTCTAATGACGACCTTTCTAAAATTGTCGAAACTTCGGATGAATGGATATCTGCTCGAACTGGGATTCGCAATCGACATGTCCTTTCAGGTCAGTGTCTATTCACTTGTACATTATATGGAACTTTAAAAAGGGTTGTGTTACTGTCTCTTGTTGATTCCTGTATATTCAAAAACTCATTGTGACCTTCATAAGCCTGTTATCTGTGGCTGTCATGGCTTGTCTTTTGGGTCGGACTTGCTATTATGTTATTATGTATGTCTAACTAAACATTGCTAGGTCATCTAAACCCTTGATTTGATTGTAAACTGAATTTCAGTAGGTTTATTCACTTCTTTCAAAGTTGTACGTTATATATCAAACCAAACCAAGTGAGAGAGATACGGATTCTGATTGTCTGCCTACGATTTATTCTTTGAATTAGTTTATGTGCCTGTCTGATTTTTAGGTTTTGTTGCTCTATTACAGTTGAGGATAGCTTGGTGGGCTTGGCCACCGAAGCAGCAAGGAATGCTCTTCAGATGGCCAATGTTGAGCCTGATGATATTGATCTTGTCTTGATGTGCACCTCTACACCCGAGGACCTCTTTGGTAGTGCTCCTCAGGTAACTTCTTCTTGATGTCAACTACTCTTGAATTCATGTATTTCAGCTTTTAGCCTTACCCACCTCAATCCCCCTGAAGAAACCATCTACATTGACTACACTACATATTTTTGTGTTCTGCAAATGTAAACAATTTTAAACAGAGCATGATAATATCTATATATGTCTCATGCTGCAATTTGACTTTGTAGATATTTAAGCACTAATGTGATCCAGGTGCTTCTGCTGTTATTTTTGTAAATTCTAGAAACAGCTTCTCAGAGTCTCAGCTGGTCACGAACTTGTGTGTCAGTGTGTGCATGTCCCTTTTTTTTTTTTTTTTTTTTTTGTATGAAAACATCTTGGATAAAAATTAGTTATTGTGCCCAGGAGCAGATTTTCTACGTATTAGTGTCTTGAAACTTTTTCTTTTGCCGAAAAGGCATGAGAACTTTGAGTTTAAATATAGAAAGCTTTGGATATAAACCAATATTACTTGCATTCAACTTAAATCAGATCACCCCCATCTGTCAAATATAAGTTTGCCTAATGCTTGCTGCTTGTGTAAATTCCTAACATTCAGCTTAGTGGAACTGTTGAATTTCTTAGTTGCTCGATCTTACATAATCTATAAATATGGAAAGTTAAGGATATAAACAGATGTTTACCAACAATTCAACTTAGATTAGATTAATCAAATATAATTGTGCCTAATGCTTGTTTATTGTATAATTTTTCAAGTGCAACTGCTGAATTCCTTTGTGGCCCATTGCTCATGATGTCATGAACATATCTTACTGATTTTTGTAGATTCAATACTAATAAGCAGTCAAGATTAAAAAAAATGGAAAGTAATGAAGGTGAATGCTTGTAATTGGTAATGGTTGATAATGATAATAGTATTGGTAGAAGCAGAAATTTAATTCCTACGTGCAGATGCATTTCTTGCACATATAAGTTTATATTGCCTTGTGAAACATTCAATTAATACCTTAATCAGATACAAAGAGCATTGGGATGCACCCGAAGTCCTTTGTCTTATGATATTACTGCAGCTTGCAGTGGATTTCTGATGGGTTTGGTGTCAGCTGCCTGTCACGTAAGGGGTACTGACTTTGTTATCTTTGCTCTCATAAAGTTTTTGTATCCTTTAATCTCTGAAATAAGGCAATTGATTGTTTGCTTCATAAATTGCAGGTGGTGGATTTCAGAATGTGTTGGTTATAGGTGCTGATGCTCTTTCTCGTTTTGTTGATTGGACTGATAGAGGGACCTGCATACTTTTTGGTGATGCTGCTGGTGCAGTAGTAGTGCAGGTGAGCTGCCAGTATTCTTTTGGATCTTTTTTTATAGTTTAAATATGATTTTTTTTTTCTGTTTTGCAACTCCTAAGGCTCTCCCCTTAAGTGTTTTCATTTTGAAATTGTGAGGGTGCCTGTAGTATTGTTTACCTATACACTCTGACGAAACAAACATTTTAGGAAAAGGTGCAAGGGTTGGATGAGAATGACCCTTTTTTACTGTTTAATATCAAATAACTACTAATTTCCTCGCCTGCTATCAGTTGGAATTTTTTTTTTTTTTCAAGCAAACATGTGCAACTGTTTTTCTTGTTTATAATGAAAAATGGGCTTTTAATGACATTCTTCTATTGTTGAGTAAATTCAAGGCAATTTCTAAACGCTAGATGGATGTTTTGAGTTTTGACAATAACATCTATATTGTGCTTTGTCATCTTTGTGCACTAAATCATGAAATACATGTATATAGAGGTGCTATAGCAAATTTGTAACATATAAATTAGCCATGTTTCCCTTAAATTGCGTTATCAAATACCAGCTATCTCAATCCTTTCATCTTTTGGCTTTTTAAGAACTTACCACATTCTCTTTGAGGTACATTCCTTGTATATTCTCTTTTTGATCAAATTTTGTCTGAAAGAGGAGAGAAAACAAGCAAATGAGATAGGGATATATGATAACTCTGTGTAGACTTGACTCTTGACTGGCATTTAATTCTTACACCTCAAGGAGTTCTGTACATGCTCAAATTTATCTGGTATTTTTATTGGACCAGCTAGGCCTGTAGCAGTGAAGAAGACGGCATGTTTGCTTTTGATCTGCACAGTGACGGCGATGGTGCAAGGTATGCATTTGAGTTTCAATGTTTCATTGGACTAGATGTCTTTAAGCTATGTACACTTGGACATCTCCAGACCCTGCCAGCAGGATCCTTACTGAGTTATACTTGGGACTAAATGTGAAATTGCTGCAAGTCATTTTCTCAGGCACTTTTCATACGTGCAGGCATTTAAATTTATCCCTGGGACATGATAAAATCGATGCAGCAATAGGTAGCAACGGTGCTGTGACAGGTTTCCCCCCAAGGCGCCAATCTTATTCATGTATCAATATGAATGGAAAAGAGGTCTTTCGCTTTGCTGTTAAATGTGTGCCCCAGTCAATTGAGGCTGCACTTCAAAAGGCTGGTCTAAATGGTTCCAATATCGATTGGTTACTATTGCATCAGGTATTGTACAGTTTATATCTGTGAATGTATTTTCTGAAGTAACCTATATGTATTTTAATTTATGAAACTGGGGGAATATTCAATTCTCTTTTACCAGGCAAACCAGAGGATCATTGATGCTGTTGCAACACGTTTGAAGGTTCCTCCAGAGCAAGTTTTGTCTAATTTGGCACATTATGGTAACACCAGTGCCGCATCGATCCCCTTGGCATTGGATGAAGCTGTTCGAAGTGGAAAAGTTCAGCCAGGACATATCATTGCTGCATCCGGATTTGGTGCTGGTCTTACTTGGGGTTCTTCCATTATTAAATGGGGTTAGAGAAAAAAGATATTGCGAAATCATCTTAATGCTAAAGATGAAGGTGTTTGGGGGAGGACCCGAAAAATGTTGTTCGTCACTTTGAGGTCATACTTGAAGAATTAATTCCCTCTGGTTGTTATTGATGATTGAGGAACTGCAGCTTCTCAGAATTCAAAAAGCTCCATCAAAGAGGCCCCCTTCATGTGTAAATCACCTGAAAAAGCTCTATTTTTTTCCTTCATATTTCTACATTAGATGTATTTATTCACTTAGAAAAATAAAAATTCCTGAGCTGTTAATCATAGTTTTTTTTTTTTTTTTTTTTTTTTTTTTTTTTTTTTTTTTTTTTTTTTTTTTTACAGTCAGTCAGAGTTTAGCAGAGCTATGATTTTTTTTGTCAGTCGAGTGAATGAGTGATTCAAACAATAGCTACTCTAGACAGGCTTGCTTTCCCTCTTTGTTTAACTTTAACCTTGTATGTTGAACCATTGTTAAGTACTTCATCTTCATTGAATAAGTCATTGACATTACTAATTTTTCTGAGTTGCAGAGCACATTAAAAATGTTTCTTTGAAAAGGATAAATTGTCTTTTGAACTTGGTTGAATCAATTTTAGGGGAAACTATGAATTTCAATATTTCTTTCCTGTTGTACTAACAAATTACTATAAAATAAAAGAGGAATTTTTTATTTTTTTATAAAAAATAATATGAAGTATAAAACATAAAACGCACCAAAAAAAAGTTGGTTATGCTAAAGCAATGTTATTGTAAAATCTAGATTCATATTAAGTATTGCAATACAACGGTAAAAATACAGCAAAAGAAAGTGTAAGATTACTCTAGCATTTATTAGCAAAATTATGCATAAAAATCTACGAGTAGTATACAAAGGTGACTAATAGTTCATCATATACTAATTTACTGTGTATATGTACCCTTTAAAAGAATGGAAAGACAAATATAAATAAACAATTGGTGCCTGAAATTAGGGGAAAAAAGAGAGGGGGGAGGGGGGGGGGGGGGGAGGGAGTGCAAAAATGTTGCAGCAGCAATCAGCCAGCAGCCGAAACATCCTTCAGTCTATCCTTGATTCTCTGCAAGGTGCCTTCAATTGCAATATCGAAGGCATCCTTCTTAGCTCTTAGTCCCAAAGAACTCCCATGTTTCCTATACATAACCTTAGGAATCAACTCCATCACCTTCTCCCTCATTCTCCTCACTTCTGCTCGAGGGATCCCCATCAGCACATCGACCACCTTCAATCCTTTAAATACCACATCCTCCTTCGGTATTGTCACGGAGAACTCCTCATACTCAGCAGGCGGAAGATGCCATTGAAATTGATTCTTGGCCGATTGATCTTCAAAGAAAACAGGTATGCACCCTGCCAGTATCCCATCGAAAGTTGATCTCCTTGACGGAGTCTCCCCTGGAGGTTGCAAGCAGAAGCTAGCCTGCAGCATTGGTTTCATGTACCTAATCAGAGGATTGAAGTATCATTAATAATGAGCATATCTAAATTTCGATTAACATTCAAATTGCAGGAAAGCTGAAGGAGGTTGTGCCACTCTTAAACAAATAGGCTCCTATGAGTTTCATAGGAGGTGCAATTCAGCAAGTGCATCTAACATACCTAAAATGGCGAAACGCCAGTCTCAACTTACAATCACTTGGAAACAAGGAAACTAAACTATGCTTGTGCACCTAGGGAAATAATGAGGTATTCAACAATCAATTTTATTGCGAGCTCAAATTTTCAAGATATACTAGTGTGAGTTGTATCCTCTCCAAGTATTGTACTCTTTAACATGGAACAATGTCTACAAAGTAACATCATCTTTTTTATGCAAAGATATGTGTATGGTACAGAGTAGAGAATCTCGAGTTTGGAAAGCTCAATCGACTTATGAGTTATGACTGCTCAAATGAAAGCTCCAACTAAGCCTACAATCTTTCAAGTTCAGATATACCAATCCTCTCACTTTTTAATGTAGAAATCGCAACTCAGTTATTCTCCTTCATTTGTAAATAAGTACTTATCATCGAGTTATTTGATCAAACCTTAGACAGGATCACAGGGATCAGCTCACACTACTGTCCCAAGCCAAGCACAAATAATTTGCCTAATTGCAAGCACCAAAATGCAAGGCTTATTATCATCCCTTGGTACTTGAGCACAAACAATTAGATAACTTGTTCACACATAATGTATTCCTTAGTGTATCTAACACAGATTACTAAATAGATTGTTTCCATTCTCATTCCAAGGTAAATATTATCACAAAAACATAATCCTAGTACCTAAACTAGGAAACTAGCACTCTTAAATTACACAAATAAGCTTAAATTAATGAGAAATTGATGAGGATAATTACCTAATAGGATCATGCTCGCAAATTCCATTAGAACAATCAACAATCTCACACAACTTCTGGAACCTTCCACCATCAACAACCGACGAATTCTGAACCGCACCACATTCCTCCCGAATACTCCGCCTCACATTCGGGTTCCCCGTCGGCGACGTCCCACCACCGCCGGCGAAAAACATAAGTGTACTCCGGCGAGACTTCCGAACCCGCAAAATCCACGAATCCAAAAACCCAACAGTCGAAGGATGAAACGACGTCGGATGAGGAATTGCTTGTTCCTGCCACGGCCAAGCTCTAGACTCCAAGGTCAAAACCGTCAAATTAAAAAACTCCGGCAACATCAAAAACGACGTCCCCCATAACCTCTCGATTTCTTCCCCATTTTCATCACCTAATATTTCCGGCAAAGGCTGGGAGAAATCCCACGAAGTACGAGCCATAATAAGGAAGTGATCATGACCGTTGTTTCGACCCCAGATATCTGGATCGTTGGATTGAAGATAGGAGAACAAATCAAGGCCGTGAAGATGGCTGACATTGTAATCAGGACCGTACAAAAATCGCAGAGAATCAAGAGAAGAATAGAAAGGGAGAAAAACGGCGTCGGATTGAAGAGGGTTAGGAGAGAGACAAGGGTATTCAAGAAGACGGCGATGGAAGAAGAGTTCGAGGAGATGAGTGTCGGTTCGATACCATGAATGACAGCGGTTATCGGTTTTGGGGCCGAGGCCGTGATTGGCTAAATGAGGGCAGAAATCAGGGTATAATGGGAAGAAAGATGAGCAGTTAGTTAGAAGCTCAAGGTTGAATCTTGTTGGGAGTTTTCTGATGTGGATCCGACGGCCTTTGCAGTCGGAATCTGAGGTTGCGGTGGTTTTGAGGAGAGAGAATGTGAGGAAGAAGAGGATGACGGTGGTTGTTGCGGTGGATGCCATTGTTGTTATTGTTAATCTGGGAAGTGAGATGGTGTTTTGGAGTGAAGGGTTGCAGTGTTTTGTTTTGTTTTGTTTTGTTTTGTTTTTTTTTTTTTTTTGGCCTTTTGTATTCAGAATTAAAAATAGTGTTAGATTGATTCAAGTAGCGTTGTTTTAGATTGGGATGGATTTGTAATTTTGACTAGATTATGGTTTGAGAGGAATTATAGATTATAGACTCCTTTTGTTTTCTAAGGGATGAATTTGCTTTAATTAGATGGTTTTATTTTTCCTCAAATTTATGTTTAAGTCCATCACTAAATTACAAATCACGATGAGTTAACTTTAACACAATTATTGTACTCCGTATTGTTTTTCTACGGTTTTCAGTAAGCTTATTTAATGATTTAGTGGTAATACAATTTGGGCATAACACAAATCAAATATAGAGTATGTGTTTGTTCAATCTAGAAAATTAACTAACTTGTCAAATTTGTGAACAATCAATTTATAATTGATTTTATAAAAATAAACAATTAAGACCCTAACTTTGTATCTAAAACACGCTAATTTCAATTTTTAAAAACCCTAACCTTCCGGATATAAGAGGTGATCACAACTATTCATGAGTCGTGACAATGATTAAAGAATGTTTATTAGCATTAGTAGTGTGACTCATAATTGCATACGAAAAACAAGAGATGATTATTAGCCAACGATAAAAGTTGTTCGGGTGTGGTTCCAGTGAGGGTCGATGAACCACTAACGGCACAACTAGGTCTTGGGCTGCCTTGCTAGGGTCTCGAGCTGGTGGCCAAAATCTTTGGCCAGCACCGGCTGGCAGTTCTCCAAGAGAGAGAACGTAAACTGCCCTCAGGGGTGGCTTCGAGGAACCCCCCCTCCGATGGCTAAGTAAGTGTTTGCTTTTGTGAGAATAATAAGCTTAATATGCTTTTTAGAGAGAGAGAGCTAAAGATTATTGAACAACCTTTTCTTATGGTGAGTCTAGGGGCATTTATAGTGTATCATAACCCCAACCTAGGCGGTCAGCCTGCCGACTTATACTGCTTATGCCAGAGCCTATGACATGAGTCTGTGTCTTGAGTCTGAGCTAGGGTTAGCGCAATTCAACTTGTGGCTGACTTATCTCGCTTCTGCGTAGAGCCTTTAACCTCTGCCTTGAGTCTGCATGTGACCGACTTATCTTGCTTTTGCTTAGAGCCTCTGGCCGAGTCTCTGAGTTTGAGCCTGGAGATTTGGATGGGGATAAGAGTGCACCCCTTGGGCAGCGCTGGGAGCATCGGGCAGCTCAGCAGGAGCCACCCTGTATAACTAGCCCTTCAAGAGGTGGTCTGAGGCACTCAGACCAGCTGCCTCAGACCACCTCTTGGTGATTGTAGACGTTCTTCTGATCTCAGGTTTGGAGCATGGGAAGAGCTCTGCCATACAAAAGTCATCACTAGAAAAATGAGAAGATGTGAGTACGTGGGCTAGAAAGCGAAAATACTTACTTGTAGTTTTTCATCTTGTAGCCCTTCCCTAAAAAAAAAAAAAGGATTAATTAGCCTGATTTATAGTTTACAAATTTTTGTATGCGGCTGGCCACATGATGCGGCATGGGTTATTTGTAGGGTGTTACTGGTTTTGTCAGGGGTTACTTGTATGGGTGTTACTAGTTTTGGCCAAGGGTTACTTGTAGGGTGTTACTGGTTTTGTCAGGGGTGACTTGTAGGCGTTGCTTGTTTCATGAGGTTACTTGCACGGGTGTTACTGGTTTTGGCCAGGGGTTACTTGTAAGGTGTTACTGGTTTTGTCAGGGGTTACTTGTAGATGTTACTTGTATTCTGGGATTACTTGTAGGGTATTACTGGTTTGGTATGGGGTTTTGGTCAAGGGTTACTTGTAGATGTTACTCAAGTAACTCCTACAAGTAACTCCTACAAGTAACTCATACAAGTAACCTTATAATACAAGTAACACCCTACAAGTAACTCATACAAGTAACCCTAAAATACAAGTAACACCTTACAAGTAACCCCTGCCGCATCATGTGGCTTGCCGCACTGAAAAACCTGTGTTTATAGTTTTATACATTGCTTAGTTTTTGAAAAAAGGCACGTTTGTGCGAAAAAAAAAAAAGAAAAAAAAGAAAGGCACGAAACAATTCCCTCCAATAAGCCTACTTTACCTATTTAAAACGCCCGAATCAACGGTCAATTAACATCTCTCCTTCCTCCAACCTCTGCAACCAATCATACTTCACACTCCCCTGTTTTTGTCTCTTTCTCTTCGAAGAAAATCAAGAAAACTCCATTAACAACCATGATGAAAGCTTTAATCAACCGATTTAAAAATTGTCGCCCTTTCAAAGAATTCTACGCAGATTGGATTAACACCCTCAAATCCAGCCTTCTTCCTCTTCTCTCTCGTTCTCTCTCCTCCCCTTCTCCAGACCCTCTTCTTCTTGCTACCCAGGTCGAACTGCTTCACTCCCATTTCAATTCTTACTTTGCTGCCCTCGATCTCGCTTCAAACGACGACGTTTCTTAGCTCCTCTTCCCAGATTGGCGAAACCCTCTTGAAAAACCCTTTCTTTGGTTCGGAGATTTCCACCCTTATATCTTCACTAATCTCCTTCGTTCTTTCCTCGAAGATGATGATGATAGTGATGAGACTGATAATGGTTTTCTGGGTAAGCCTTGGAATGTCTGGAAAAATGTTGATGTTTCTTTGGCGCATTTTGTCGAACAGGTGGAGTGCGGTTTGAGATTGATGGTTCCTTCTGTTGTCGCGCGTTCTAGGGATACTCAGGCTGATTTGGTTGAGAAATTGGGTGTTGGGTGGAGAAAAAATGGTGAGAATTTCGAGGTTGATGAGGTTGTCGGAGAATTGATTGACAAGATGACTTGTGTTTTCTTGGATGCTAATAGGTTAAGAAGAAGTGTTCTTGCTGATATCATGGGGACTTTGAATGTTTATCAAGCTGCTTCTTTTCTTGAAGGTCTTGCCAAATTCTATGCTGGGTTTTGGGATCCTTCGTTACTTGCACACTTTAAGAATCCCGTGGATTGAATGGTTTAAGGTTTATTTTCATGGAATTCTGGTTTCTTATGTCACAAATTTCTTACTTTTTGGTGAATTGGATGATATGGAAGGGCCTGCCTTGGATTTTTTTTACTTCTTTTGGTGAGTTGGTCTCATCATTTTAGTCTTTATTATCTTGATATTATTTGCTTACATTAATGTGAAAGTTATGCTGAGTTTTTTTTTTTCCTTTTCTTTTGATTGCAGGAAATTATCAGGCTGATAATGGTTGGTTAATTATGTAGAGGAAGACTGTTTTTTTCTTGTAAATGTTCTGCTTGTGAATTCTTCATCTGGAAAGAAAACATTCCAGGACTTTGCGTTGTAAGTTCTGTTGTACAAACTTTGCTCTTCATAGCAATTATATTGCATAAACCAATTTCAAATTTTCCGTTAAACTAGTTCTTGCCTTCTTGTTGCTTGCAGTGTTCTTTTCTCATCTTTTATTGCTTTTATGGTGGCTAGTCACTTAGGAAACGGCTTCTTGTTAGCAAGGGAATATTTGTCTCAAATGGATTGAATTATTAATAGGTCCCCAATGAAAATAGATGTTACTGAATTAGCTATGTAAGTAAATAAGTTCTCTATAAAACTATGCAAGTTTTCTCTTCCTGCCTGTGTGATTGGTACTTGCTAATATTAAAAGGGATGAATAAGTCTAATTAGAGATATTGCAATGTTGGATAGCTATGCCACACAATAAATATTATATTGCTATTTTGGAGGAACAAAAGGCACATATTTGGAGGTGATTTCCGTTGGCATTGTAATGGAAATAAGATTTAATAGCAAAATTGCATGCAAATCCATTACCATTCCCACTATATAGGACCGCTACCAAAGATGCTGTAAGTAATTTTCTTAAGTAATACTCCGTAGAAATAGGATGCTGGTAAGGTTGGAGGATGGGAGGAGGGGGTTTCAAGTTCACATCTGATTATACTTTTATTTTTTTTCCCTTTTCATTTTCCTCATTGGATGTCCCCCTTGTGAGTAAGATGATATTGTGTGGAACGTCATCCATGGGATCACCAATCAACAAATAGATGACTAGATGTGAAATTCTTCTAAGATCGGCTTGGGGCCAAGAGGGTGGGATGGATGCTAAGGTATAGACAGGCAGTCTAGAGATGTTCTGATCCTTGTCATGTAAAGCAGCCCGGTTCATTTCCGTTTATAAGGGTATGTTCACACTTGTTGTAACAGCTGCATGGAGCAGTGGCTGATAATAAGCTTAAGGGGAAAATAAAAGGTTCTTGTAAACTGCTACCTACAAATAGTACTTTTTGAAGTTCATAAATTGATTAAGGGTCATTATGAACTCCAAAGTTTCTGTGACTATATTCAAGGACGACGTAGTATTATTGCATATGACTCCATATGAATTATAGGCTGATTTTTAGAGATATTTTGAAATCAAAAACCATGAAATTAAATTTTATATAGTTCACATTTTATGATTCTCATAGATTCATAGAATTTGGCATTCATTGGACTGAGATTCGTGTTTCTTCTCTTCCTGAATTCAGAGAGCAATATATATACTCCTTAGTGCTCTCTGGGATTTGTGGGTTCCCTTTATGCTGAAATGAAGCATAGACTAATTGTTATCATTTATGTACATACATGAGCAGCAAATTGTTCCTCTTGAATTATTAAGAAACAAGCAACTTTACATAAATTTGGTTTTGTGTATGATCTATAAATGAAGTCCAACTTTTGATCAGTATGCTTACAAATTTAACTTACACATTTAACTTACACAAAACCAAATTTATGTAACTTACACTTTTGATCTTTTTTTTTTTTGGCTTAACTAGATCATACATAGTTCAATTTGCTGCAGTTTTCGATCATACACAAAACCAAATTTATGTAAAGTTACATCGTCCCCCTTTGCCAGTTTTCGATGTTATTGTGCTTCTCTTCCGGTAAATGTTAAGAGTTTTGTAAGCATTTTATGTATGAACTATGTATGATCTAGTTAAGCCAAAAAAAAAAAAGAAAAAAAAAAAGGAACTAAGGTAAGACTTTTTAACAAAGACTTGACTGCAGGAAATTGATGAGATTATAAATTAGCTGTGCAAAACGAATCTTCAATTCTTTTAGGGGTGCAGTGGTTACTTCAATTCAGATATTTTCAAAAGGCTTCAAATTTTAGTTTCTGAAATGTTACTGTCTTTAATCAAATCCAACAGATCTCAACAACATTTTTTAGTCTTTTGAGGCTCATAGTTGACACTTATGATCATCATATTAGCTCAAATCAACATGGCAATTATGTGGACTAAATTCTAAAGGAAGAGATTTCGTTTTTCAGATCACGTTTATTGCTTCTCTCAAGTGTTTGGGCCTTTATCTGCTCTTTGAGATGATGATACGAGTTTCTCACATCTCCTACTGTTACATTCTGATGTCTTTTTCAACTATGTATCTTTTAATTTATTCCTTATGGGCCTCTGTTTTT